TTGTCCTCCTCGGTCTAAACATGTGACTGTATTTCGTTAAACTTAATACAACCTACGCACAATTGACTTAGGATGTAATTAGCAACTAATGCGAGAAGAAAGGAAAGAAAAATAAAGTTAGCATTATTTTCACTTTGGAAATAAACATGAATATCTAGGTAGGTTTCCAAGTGCACTTACAATTATTGCTGTTGCTTCCGTTATCGTTGACACTTTAAGTGTAGTGCTATGCTCTATGATTAATGGGTTTAGAAATTATTCATTTTGCTTGGAATTTTCTTCGGGGGTTTGCAGAATACCGCAGTGTGTGAACTCATTTGATAAGCGCGAGATACTTAAACACGTGAGAAAGTTCTATTCGGGAGGGGGCCGAATTTCGCATACCCACAACTATGCTTTTCACATTCTACTCTCCAAGTTCTTTTATTTGATACCCATATCGCTGGTATTAGTAGGAAAAATGTAATCGCGATGTCTACTATATCCATTTTAAAATTAACCCATTTTTAGGCAGATAATATACCTTCATTTGAGGAGTGTGCTAAATAGTTTTAAACGTTTGTCTTGTTTGCCTTATGATAAGCAAGAATTAAACCTCAAAAAAGTGAAAAAAAATTAACTTTAATTATTCGCGACTTTGTGTGGACACGGTCGGATTGGTTCCATTCTTAGACCTAGAGAGTAAGGTGTCGCGTAAAGCAAATGTGGAAAGTTTCAATTTTCTGACTTTAATAATTTGCGAATAACGAGCAAAAATTCAGAAATTTTTATTAGAAAAAATTGAGTTGAGCGCCAGTACGCGCTTCTGCTCTGACCAATTTGGTTCATTTTCAATACCAAATAGCGTGCAGAAACTTCCAATGTTCCAAGTTGATATCTTCATTTTTGCGACTAGGAGAGTGCCAACAACACACGAACGGACCGACATGGTTAAATCAACTCAGAATTTCACGCTGATCAAGAATATATACACTTTATAGGGTCTCTGAAGTTCCCATTTGGGCGTTACATATATTTTGGAAAAAAACAAAATGAGTT